CAAGGATTTGTAAATTTAGGAAATAAGTTTAACAAAAACTCTCGGTAATGGATTGGGTACAACACGAATGGTTCTACGTTATTGCCCAATTTTGGCAAATTCGAGCGAGAGGAGATAAAAGGAAGCCGGGAACGAAAATGAAAAACTACCTGCACTTTTACAATATCTGTCGGACAGGTGAGATAAGAAGACCAAACAATGCTGAATACGTTTCAGTTAAGTATATCTGACTCTATTCGTGACGGTATAATATATGACCTTAGATAAATATATCACTATTATGAAAGGAGTAACAGTAATTTAGAAAGAAAAAACGTTTATAAAAGGGGAGTAATTCTGAATGATTAAGAGTCACGGAAACTGATCATATGTCACCGTTTTCTGCAGGTACGAGCAAAGCGCTGGCTTAATGTAACGGTGCCTTTCTGACAGGCTGAATGAAGGTTTTCAGGTGAAACTGTCGTGTGTGACCAGATAGGAGAGAATTTCCAAAAAGAATTGGCAGGCTCTGCTAGAACGAGATATTTGCTTGCGAAACCTAGCAAGTACTCCAGGTGCCTTCCAATATGCTGTGCGAGAATGCAAGAAATTATGAATTTTTTTGTTAGAAAGCATTTGATCCAAAGAACTTCGAAACTACGTGGGTATTATTTAAAATCTATATTGCTAGGTTTCGCGAGAAGTTGCATCCCAAGAACGACTCTGTTCAGAAATATAGGCAAGACCGACTTCTGATAGACAAGCTGCCTTTAACCGACGTATTACACACCTCCAACATACGAGGAATCAATCAGTCGTTGATGAACGTTCACGACCGCCAACGAAACTCACTTGTTCCTTTTTACCTTGGGCCTCATTTATCGGGCCCTGACAGCAACCATAGCCTCTAGTCGTATACGCAGATATTATTGTCGGCAAAGACAAGGGAGACTGGAATGGCAATTTCGGGCTCATTAGCCGTAGTCAGCCAGTTATACCCGGCCCGAAGTGGTGCACCACTTGATGTTTGAACTCACGAACGTTTTGATCAGTCAGATACCCTAACCTCTGAGCCGCGAACTCACTATCTTGCCGGTTTAAGTCGGGAAATATTGGCACTCACTGGTTTTGGTCAAAATAGGCAACCTGATTGAAAATCAGCGCAAGAAATACTGATATTCAGACAAGGACTATTAAATAAGCTGCCCAGGGGACTAAGAAGTCTCGCACTGGTACGAAAATCGTTATTATGAATATGCATTTCACTATAGCAACCCAGTTTCACTAATAATAACAACCATAGATGCCAGTTGACGAACATCTTCTCAATTGAAAGATTCTTTTTATGACAAATGTTCCAACTGAAACTTCCGGAAACACATTTATTTGAGATATAACTGGGAATTAATTCAACGGCCGAGGCTTAAGTGAAGTATCTTAGTGGGTGGCAGCGACGTTGTAGCTTATGTTTGCATTTAAGCGAGGGCTTACTAATAAAGGTTCCACCAGCCGCCTTCTGTATGAAAAAGTTAACTCCTAAGGTAGTTGGGCAGTTGTCGGGCGCTCCTAGATCCTCAGCTTTGCATCCTTACGAACCAGAATTGGATGAGAGTTCCACCTTGCACCACTGTCCTTCAAAGACTACTAGCCGCTATGGCTGCTGTCAAGGCCAGGGAAATGAGACCAAGGCACCGCGGGGCAAGTGAGTTCCGTCACCAGTCGGCGAACGTTCATTAACTAGTGTCAATATCCCCCG